GAGTTTCACAAGAAAATCAAGGGAGGTAATTTTCTGGAGGTGTTTCATCAGGTCTCCCTCCAATGAAAACCAGGTAGAAGGTCTTAAGAGCCACATTTCTGTTCTAGGCATTTCAATGAAGAAACACCAGCGGGTTCATTTCCAACACCTGTGATTGTCAACTGGCATTTTATTGTACTGCTAGTGGATCAGAGGTAGGAGGGAAAATCAGCTTTTCCCCAGGAGGAGCAGAAAGTCTGAGAATGGCCTAACATTGAGGAACTTTGGCAAAGGTATGCAGTATTGTGATCTACAAGAACTATATATTTGGTTATTCGGGTGACCAAAATATATTTCTCGTATATATTTGATTCTCATCTACAGATCCTGGCTCAGCTTCCTTTTGCAAATTTCTGAGGTCTAAGAGCAATGGGAGCATCTTTTATTATGATGTAGGGTCTCCATTCCTGAAAACACTTTAGAGCCAGAAGGGTGAAATGGGTGTCTTGTTCCTCGAAAACAACCCCCGACCCAGGCCCCGTTCTACCACAACTGAGTTTATGTTAATGAGGTGATTTTTGGAAAGCACCTAAGGAGGGGTTCTGATTGCAGGAGAACCGACCATGATTAGAAGGTTGGAACCTTCAGTCCTACGTCCCTCGACTGCTGGAGAGGAGAGAAGGGCTGGAGGTTGAATCAATTCACCAACAGCCAGTGATTTGATCAATATCAGCTGTGTAATGAACCCTCTATAAAAACCTGAAAGAGGACATGGTTCAGAGAGTTTCTGGCTTAAAGAATACAAGAAGATATGAAGAGAGGGACAGCCTGAAGGGAGCATGGAAGCTCTGAGCCCTCTCCTCCTACTTCCTCCACATCCCCAACCTCCCAACCTCCCAACCCCCCCACCCCCATGCATTTCTTCCATCAGGCTGTTCCTGAGTTACATCCTTCTTTTAAAAAGCCCTGTCATCTAGTAAGTAAAATCTTGTCCTGAGTTGCATGAGCTGCTCCTGCAAATCAACTGAACCCAGAGAGGGATTTTGTAAGAACCTCTGGTGTATAGCCAATCGGTAAGACAGAGAGGTGACCATCTGGGCTTGTAATTAGCATCTGAGGGGGATGGGGCAGGCTTGGGGGACAGAGCCCTTGTGGAATCTGATGCTATCTTCAGGTAGATAGTGTCAGAATTGAGCTTATTTTTAAGACCCCCACCTGGTGCCAGAAAACTGCTTGGTGTTGTGTTGGGAGCCCCCTGCCCCGACCCTCCCACATGCATTGGAATTGGTGATCAGAGAACCCCATTAAAGTAATTGTCTGAATGTCTTATTAAATTCTTTTAAATTTACCACCGTAAGGCATAGTTACTGAACTGAGTGAGTTCAGAATTACTCTGAGAACACTTGAGTTCAGGGATAGGCATTAGGGTTCATGATGTTTAATGTCAGATATCTGTTGAGAATTGTAATCTAAATTCCTCTTCTACGTCAATTGTCAGGAGAAAACAGAGAAGGGGAAGGTATATGTAGGATATCAGCATTTTCTTCTCTGAGAGCAGCTCTGTGTCAAGCAGTAAGATAGTTTTTATTTTTAACATATTGTCTCATGTGACCATTATAGAGTGCTAAGTGTTTGGGAATATGCCCCATTTCCAGATGAAGAAACTAAATGTCAGAGAATTTAAATAACCTGCTCAAGTTTCCATAGTCTAGTACATTGAAAAGAAGGAATATGTAGCTAGATCTCTAATTTCCATAATCCTGCTCCTTTCTTCACAACTGCTACCTCTCGTAGAACAAGGGAAGAATCTTCTATGTCATCCCATGATAAAATAATTTGGGGTTTTGAGGTTATTTCTCACTTTACTTCTCTTTATTATTGTCTTTTTAATAAAGATTTTGTTTATTTTTTTGAGAGAGAGAGCATGAGCAATGGGGAGAGGCAGAGGGAGAGGGAGAAGCAGACTCCCTGCTAAGCAGGGAGCCCGTCATGGGGCTCTATCCCAGGACCCTGGGATCTGGACTTCAGCCCAGGGCAGACACTTAACTAACTGAACCCCTAGGTCCCCCATTAATATCTTGATTAATAAAAAAAATTGGGGGCACCTGGGTGGCTCAGTGGGTTAAGCCTCTGCCTTCGGCTCAGGTCATGATCTCAGGGTCCTGGGATCGAGCCCTATATAGGGTTCTCTGCTCAGCAAGGAGCCTGCTTCCCCACCCCTTCTCTGCCTGCTGCTCTGCCTGCTTGTGATTTCTGTCTCTCTATCAAATAAATAAACAAAATCTTTTTTAAAAATTTTAAAAAATAAATTTTCCACTATCATTAAGATACTATGATTTGATAAGATAATGAGTTGCTTTGTTTGTAACCCCTGCCAATTCCCAGTGATAAGCTATAAATATTTAGAAGGTAAACTCTTAAGTTAACCTTTGAATTGATTTCTTAGAAAATACTTGCTTGCAAAGATTTATAGTACCTCACCTGCTTTTTCCTGGTCCTTTCATTTGGTAGACTAGACCCTCAAATACAATTAGGAAATAACTCTTGCTATTATAGCTTTCCCTTCATAATAAAGCATTCTGAATCATGGGAAAGTAGTTGCCTGAAGTAGATGAGTGTTACAAATTATACAAGAAGAAGTGTACCATATTTATTAAGAACATTTGTAAATGAATTGTCTTCTATGTGTGAGTACAGGTTTTTTTGGTTTTTTTCTATCTAAATTCCTTAACATACCTTACTAAGTTTATGTATTTGTTTTCTATTATGAAAAAAAAGTATTTTTTAATTTAAAGTGACCTATTACTGATATAGATGCTATGGATAGCTTGTCTTTGTCTTTTATACAAATACTGCTGAATAATATATTATTTTGATAAATATTAAGTTAATTTCTTATTACAGTGGTTAGATAAATATATTAATATGGTTTGCAAATAATGATACTTTGTCTTGAGGAAAAAAAAAAAATCAATCCTTAACATCCAGGAGCTGGTCTGGTACTATTAGGCCTTAGTGTTCTTCCATTAAATATATACAATTTCACAAAACATTAGCATCAGACAAGGCTTCACTGTGACCATCATGAATCCAGACAAAAATAAGACCACTCTTTAATCATGTCTGAGCACAGACAAAACATGAACAATGTCCAAGCCACAAAATACCAAATATATCCCTATTTTGACTAATATGACTGATCATTAATTTTTACCAGTTGCAGCTTTAGTCTTAGCCCAGTCTCCATACCTCTAGAAAAGACTTATTAAGGTAATCACTTATAGAGTTATCTCCATTTCATGACCACATCCTGTCCAGAGATGAGTCCTACTTCCTTAAACCCACCCCAAAATTGTTTGACACAAGCCAAGTTATTTAAGTCCTTTCCAATACTTTGCTAGTGAGACACCCCACAATTCACCATTCATTTCATTCTCCAGCTAGCCTTCTCTCTCCCTGCAAGGACTGTTAAGCTCAAATTGTTTAACAACAGGTTTGTTCCTGGTACTCTTTATCTGGAGGACATGGACAATTTCTTCATCAACTTTTTTTCTTATTTTGTTTTCATATCTTATTACACTGGCCAGATTCTAAAATAACAAATAGTAATAATAGTGACAGCAAACATTCCTGTTCAAAGGGACAAATATGTTTTACCATGGTATTAATATTTGTTTTCCTATTTAAGTGGGTTCCTTTATCATATTAAGTAAGAATAGTTCTGTATTTTTGAAATTGATACAAATTTTAAATAATTTTTTGTCTATTAACTTTTCTTTTGTAAATATTGTAATGGGACATTATTTTGATAGGTTTTCCTACTATAAGTTTCTAGGATAAGTCCTTGTGGGTTGTGGTTAGTTGTTCTTTTAATGAATTTCAGCTTTAATAAATTATGTAATTTATTAATTTCATTCATTTTACAGAAGTTCTCTAACTACCTACTATATACGAGGTTCTATCTTAAGTCCTAGACATGTTGCAATTTAAGAGTTCATAGGAGGGATGGGAATGTAGCTATAAAGAGGTATCCTTTTAATTGAACTGTTCTATGTCATGACTGCTGTGGTGGTCACACAAATCTCCATGTGATAAAATTGCACGAAACAACACACAGACAGATAGGTGCACACCTACACACACATATACACAGATTAGGGCCTGTAAAACTGGTAAACTCTGAATCAGGTTCACAGATTCTGTTGATGTCAGTTTCCTGGTTGTGATCTCATTCAAGTTGTTGCCATTGGAGGAAATCAAGAACTCTCGTACTGTGTCTTACAACTGCATGTGACTCTACTATTACCTAAAAATCAAAAGTTCTTTAAATTATAGAGTCTTTGACATGTAGAATACAATCTAATAACTAACATGGATCATTTTTTAAAAATTATATGATAGCTACTATAATAGAGAGGAAGAGTATTGGGTGCCATAAGTGCATACAATATTGGAGTCTGTATTTGAAGGCCAAGAAAGACCTCCCTAAAGGAGTAATATTTGTGTTTTTTAAGAAGATTCTATTTATTTATTTATTTATTTATTTATTTATTTGAGACAGAGTGAGAACACACATGAGCAGGGGCGAGTGAGGAGAAAGCAGAGGGAGAAGCAGACTCCCTGCTGAGCAGGGAGCCTGACACAGGGCTTGATCCCAGCACACAGAGGTCATGACCTGAGCCAAAAGCAGATGCTTAACTGTCTGAGCCACTCAGGCACCCCAAGATATAACATTTAAAATGAAGCTTAAGAATGAGTAGGAATTGGCCAAACAAAAAAGAGGAGAAAGATGGACAATTATCATCTTTCAGGGAGTGTAGTCTCAGCAGAGACTCATAAGGAAGTTTGAACAGAAGATAATGCTGAGGAAGAGTTTTGGAACAGGTCTTAATGGACCGTAGGATGATGATAACTCTCCTAAGAGAATAATGAGGAGCCACTATAAGGCTTTAAGCAAAGCAATAATAATATCAGGTTCATATTTTTAAACTATTACTTTGACTTTTAGGTACAGAACAGTGTGGTTGGAAGGGATACCTGCAAACATGCAGAAGAAAGGAAGCTGTCCTAGAGTCCAGGTTAGTGATGGGGTCCTTGGAATTGGGTGGGGGTGGTGAAGATGGGAATCAGTGAATGGATCTAAGAGTTCCTGAACAGGTTTGGTAATGATTTGAATGTGAGCTGTTTGTCAGTGGTTTAGATTATACCCAGATTTTGGTATGGACAATGGAGTACATGGAGGCCACATCCTCAAGTGGGGAGCATTAGAAAATGTAAGATCTGGAGTGAAGTAGGGGATGGTTTGGTTCAATTTTTAAAATCTAAAATAAGATGCCAGAGGGCACCTGGGTAGCTCAGCTGGTAAAACATCTGCCTTTGGCTCAGGTCATGGTGCCAAGGTCCTGGGATTGAGCCCTGTGTCAGGCTCCCTACTCAGTGGGGAGTCTGCTTCTCCCTCTCCCTCTGGCCCTACCACCACCACCCCAACCAGGGCTTGTGCTCTCCCCCCCCCAAATAAATAAATAAATAAATAAGATCTTTAAAAAAATAAGGTAAGACACCAGCAAGACTTCCGAGTAGAGATTTCAGTAGGCAAGCAGATATCTCCAACTGGACCATAGAAGTAGAGAAACCGGCCAGAGATAAAGTTTTAAGTCTTTGGCATATGGATGATATTTAAAGTCAAGGGAGTAGCTACAGTCATTAGGGAGAATGGGAAGAGAAAGAAAGTGGCCCAGAGGAAATCCCTGATGAACGTGAACATTTAAAGGTCAGGGAGACTTAGAAGTAGCAGTCAAGAGGGATTAGAAATCTAAGAATGATTTTAGGGAAACAGAAGGAAAAGAGTATTTTAAGAATGAAATAACAAATATGTTAAGTGCTCTGCTGAGAGGTCAAGTCAGATGAGGCATAGAAATGACCATTGGGTTTAGGAATACGAAGATCAGATCACTTGTAACTGGGGTGAGGAGGGAGGAAGGGGAGAAGGAATGCAAATGGGGGTAGGCTTGCTAATTTGGAGGAAGATGAAAGAGCTGTAGCCAGGTCCTATCAACTTTCTCTACAAAAGTATTGACAATGGGTAAGGAGATTTAAGGAGAATGAGGAAGGTGTAAAATCATTGTTACAAGAGAGAAGGACTAGAGTAAATAGTGAGTAGACTAAACATTTCAACCACTGAGGAAGATTTTTTAAAGTTCAAATAAATGGAAATTATCCAAATTTTCTCTTGGATAAGAAGACTCAGTGCTGCAAAGATGTTAATCCTCTTTGTATCTATCATGATATTTGATATAGTAATCATAATTCTTATTAAAATTACTATGATAGCTCACACTTACAGAGGGCTTACTATGTGTCAGGCACTGGGTTAAATGCTTATAAAACCCTAATCAAAGTCACAAGTTCAGGGGAATTTGCAAAATGACTGTAAGTTTGTCTGAAAAATAAACATGTAAGAATAGCAAAGAAAATTCTGGGAAAGAAAATAGCAAGTGTGGATTAACCCACTGTAATTGTGGTTTGCAACAATAGAAAGCTCAATGGAAAGAACTCAGAAATAATCACAAGTTTATGGGAGGGTGACCAATAATGCTGAGTTTTCCAGACAGTGGGGAAAAAAACAGGTTTACAATGAAAAAATCAGGGATGCCTAGATAACCATTTGAAAAGTAATAAAGCTAGGTCCCTGCATGATTCCTTATCCCCAAATTAGAGAGATCAAAAAAGTGAATGTAAACATGTAAATTATAAAAGAAATAAATTATAAATATTTTATAGTACTGTGTTGAAAAGACCTTTTGAAATATAGAATAATAATCATCTTTGTGGCAAGCGCGCGCACACACACACACACACACACACACACCAGTGTCAAAAGACAATTGTTAAAGTAGGGAAAATATTGTCAACTTTTAAGGATGAAAGATTGGGCTCTCGTAGCTCAATCAAAAATATGAAGAACCCAATTTTAATAAGAAGGGCAAGGAAAATACCTCAGAGCAAAAGCCATGTTTAATAAACACATGAAATAATGCTTGTTCTATTAACAATTTTAAAACAGAAAAATTAAAGTGGATTTTTTGGTCAAATTAATCAATCCAATTAACATATGATTTATGAGTACCTACTCTGTGTCATGTGTGTTTAGTATTTTCTTATCTGTATATTTCCTATAATATTTCTGTGAGTATATTTTCCATAATAAACTACCAGCTTTTTAGTAATCTGTTCAGTAGTTTGAATGGACAGAGATGCCCCAAAGAGCTTGATAATACTTGAGAAGTGGAGTTTTTTTCTTAAGTCAAACTCAGCAGTCTTGTTGATGTATTCAGTTTGAGTGTACATTTTATGAAAAGGAATGTGTTCGTCTTTAAAAGTATTTTTATATGCTCACAAAGCTAATTATTTCCCTCCCATTTGATTATATTTTATTGAATTGACAATATTTCTGAGAGTGTAAAGTTAGCATTGGAACATTAATGACAAACCAAATCAAAGTTGTAGTCCATTGATTCTTCTCTTTTATCAGCCAGAGGTAAGAAGAACAGTTAGGGGGCTGGTCTTTCTTCATCTCTTCATTCTTTCATTCAAACATTTATTGAATGTCGACTGTTGAATGCCAGGCACCATTACTATTGAATACCAGGCACAGCATTAGGCACTGGGGATACTATAATGCACAAGAGAAAGAGGATCTCTACCCTCACACTGTACCATCTAACTGGGGCTATAGAAAAGGAAAACTACAATGGAACACTGCTGAAAGAACTTGAATTTGTATTAAGCAACTGAAATCTCCCCTTGCCAACATTCTTTCAATCCAGAGACAATCTTAGGCTGCCCAGGATAACACGTTACTTCTGTGACTATACTAGATACTCATTTGTGGGTGATTGAAACACCATAAAGTATCTTTACAAATAATATGTCAAGCCTAAAAGCAGCTAGGTCATAGACTTCCTCCAGATTAATAAGGCTAAACTTTTTGGCAACAAAGGAGAGATTTTTCAGGTCTAAATGAATCATTAGGGATGTGTAAATCACAGACATAACAAATGCTCTATAATTAAGAAAAAGATGTGTGTTAAGCATTATCATAAATCTCAGAATAACCCAAAATGTTGTCCATTTGTCTTTGTCAACAAATACTGGAATGAACCCAAAGATATAGTCAAATATGTAACTCCAAATAGTCTATACTTTCAAAAAAACCATTAGGCTAATATATACTTGCTTAGGGAAAAAAAACTTCATATACTAAAGAATTAAAATAGTTTCACAAGTTACTTTGTATGGTTCCTAAATTATATTAGATTGAGCCATATGAAATTGCCAAAATTTGATTTTTTTTAAACTTACAAAATTTGCAGTTTCATGTCGCTCATTCTAGTAGAATGACATCATTTCAATTTCTAAGAAGAAATCTTTGCATCACAAGTAATTTATAGAGCTCTCCTTATGAGCCACACTGCACTAAGCCCTATCTGACATCAATCCAAGGCTTTCTCTGGGGCCCATGGATTCCCCTCAAAAAGTCTGAGACTGGAAATAAGGAGGATCTTTAAACTTAGATGAAAAGATTATATATTTATTATTGCTAACCTTTAACTGGAACTTCCCATTTCTTTCAAATAGACACAAGCAGTAAACTTTGATAGTGTTATGCATACCCTTTTTTTGTCACCAGTGGAAATCAGCTGTTTTCATAGTACATTTCAGTTGTCCCAGCTATGTCAAAATAACATTGGTAATTATCACAAACTTGAAGTTTCCTATTGATATTAAACCTATCACTAGGTCTTATTATTTAATGCATTTAATACTTATCACAAATTTGTTTTTTAAAATATTTGGATAACCAAATTTTGATTAATTTATTTTATAATAAAGTGTTATATATATATTGATTAATTTGCTTTATAATAAAGTATTACATATATCTTTAATGTTCTTAAAAAATATTATTCTGAGAAAAGTTTCCAAGGGTTTCCCCAGACTGTCAGATGGGTTCCTGGAAGAGAAAGGTAAGAACCCTCAGTACCGTTTGATCCTCATAGCCATGGTGCATTGTGGGTACTACTATCACCCCTGATGTGCAGAAAGAGGAGATGGAGTCACTTGCTGAAGGTACACAGCTAACAGCACAACCAGGTTTCACGATGAGTCTGGCTCCAAAGCCCAGGCTCTTACACAGCATCTATGCAACCTTTGGAAATTTTCAGTGACCAACAGAGATCATGGTAGTCAACATACCGATGATCACCAAATAATATTTGTGTGAACCTGAAAATACTTCCCATGCGCAAAGACACTAAACGAGTGTTGTCCGTGGCAATCATAAGCTTACAAAATGAACATGAAGAACTTCAGTAGTCAGGAGAATGGGCTCTGGACACCAGCCAGGGCTGTGGGGGTGGGGGAAAGCCTCAGAGATGCAGAGAGAGAGCTGTTAGAGAGGAAAGAGGGCCCCAGACAGACAGGCAGCCTGGCACACACAGGTGTCACAAGATGGTAGCCAATAAAATTTACTTCTTACTCCAATGGTGACTTCTGCCTTCTCTACCTACTTCTGTTTTTCTCTTCTTCCCTTCTGTCTCTAGCAGTTTCTAATTTAGATATCTCTCCCATTCCTCCATGTACTAGCCAGTTTTCAGCTTGAAATAGAGGGTTATTTCCTATTTGAACTTGAAATATGCCAGGTTATTGCTGAAGAAATTCAGGCTACTATATTTATCCATCAATTTGAGTTTTCATCTCTTTTTTTTAAATTGAGGTATAACTATCATAGAACATTGTATTAGTTTCAGGTGTACAGTGTAATGATTTGGTATTTGTAAACATGGCAAAATAGTCACCACAGTAAATCTAGTTAACATCTGTCACCATAGTTACAGAATTTTCTTGTGATGAGAACTTTGATGATCTACTCTTTTAACAACTTTCAAATATAAAATATGGTATTATTAACTATTGTTACCATGATATACATTATATCCCTGTGACATATATATGTTTATTTATTGAAGTATAATTAACATATAATGCTATATTAGTTTCAGATGTACAATATAATGAT